CGATACTTCTCTTGATACAGCTATCAGAAGCAACAGTTAGTGGTAGTCACTTAACTGGAACCGACATTTTTTAGTGGACAATACGATACCACTCCAGCACCTAACAACACCAAGGCAATTGGTTACTTATGGAGCAAGGCGTAGCGACCCTTCCCGGCGCCCGGGGACAAACTTCTGATTTGCACCCCCCCCCTTCCCCACAAACTTTCGATTTACACCCATCTCAAACTTTCGATTACTTTTTCCAACCCATTTTGGCGCCCCCTAAGGTCGGCTCCCGGGGAAATATGTCCCCTCTGCCCCCCCCCCCCCCTAATCGCTACGCCTCTGTTATTGAGTTAGATGGAGAGATTGCTCCAAGACAGAGGAACAGAGTTTCTTCAAAACATCTCTTCGAGGGGGTTTCGCCCCATCCCTCGAAAAACGTCTACCACCTACTCCCCAGCCCCCCCCCCCCCCCCACCGGAGAAAAAAGTCTTGAAAAAACACTGCAGAACTATACAAATCGAAATAGTATAGTAATTTCCCTTTTTGTTACTAAATTTTGAATTATTAAATTACAGTTTAATGACTTTATGGTTTATCCAGTCAGATTAAAATTTATATATCCTTGCACTGTCATTAAAGAAGAACATATCTATGAAGTTTAAACGAGATTACTGCATTAGAAATGGGTTAAAATTTTATTACTGAAACCCACAAACAAACAAATAAAAATACAAACATATTGTAAACTTAACAAAAGCTTTTATAATAACAATACTCACTGCAGCAGAATCAGCAACAGCTATCAGAAACAAGATAACAAATCCACTACCCGCCATTGTGGTCTTATTTGCAGGTACGTTGTTCTGTTACTATATTTGTATCCCGGGCACGTCTAATTAAAAGTTCTCTAAACATATGTTGTTAATCCTTATCTATAACGTGGGCTGCTCTACCTACATGATATCAAACACAGTAAGCAAGTAAAATAAATATCAGGCTTCGGCAGTGGCGTGCTGTCCATAGGCTCATGTGACTTGGCTAGACCCCCTAACAGTTGTAGCAAATGTAAAATTTTGACCAATGTTTTTGTGATTAGTCGCGGTCGTCACTGTACATAACATTTTTTTACCGCACTCCCACAGACTCCCCGCCCCCCCCCCCCTATTTAGTCCCCAGTGAGAAAATTCACCGCACTCCTACAGGGCTAATGTCTCAACCTTTTAAACGAGTCCTTGCACTTTGCCGATTCAACCTGTTTAGTTAATTAATAGTAAGGGTAAAAGAAACGAGCGAGGGCATCTGTTTTTGTAGTGTGAAAATTAATCGTGTATTTACTATGTGGAAAGCTTCAACTTCTATTTGTCTCACAAAACTACGCCCCTGCCTGCTCACATAGCTGTACATGCGCCACGTTGCATGTTATTAACACAAAGTAAGGTTGTGTAATAGACCAACATTTTTACAGTGGTATTCGAAATTGTGTTTTTCTACACACCCACATGAGATTGTAACTGTTGTTTTGAGACTCTTGTCAGTAACGTATGAAAAGGGGGTGAGCGGACCTTTGACCACAGGTGCTTTGACCATAGGGGGTTTGACCATAGGTGGTTTGACCATAGGGGGTTTGACCATAGGGGCTTTGACCAAAGCGGGTCTTTGACCAAAACGGGCTTTGACCATAGGGGCTTTGACCATAAGGGATTTGACCACAGGCGTTTTCTCAGCAGAGGGTCTTTGATCACAGGTGGTTCGTCCAATGCGGGCGTTTGATAACAAGCGCTTTGTCCATATATGGTACGGATTAATTCTAAAAATTGGAATCAAATACACGCGATTGGTAATGGTGTAGCGCTAACAAAAAACAACAGTGAAGGATGGCAGTCCCCCCCCCCAATGTAGTCACCCAACAATGTGGCGTTTCCTTGAAGGTCTACAGATGGACTGCACACGCTTTCTTGCAAGGTGTTGCAGGTACAACCTACCCAGCTGAGAAGCTATACAGAATGATGCACGAAAAATTACAACGTGCTGTTCAGACATATGGTCAAACAGATTTACTGACATATGGTCAAACAGATGTACTGGCGTAAGGTCAAACAGATGTAGGCCTACTGACATATTTGCGTGCTAGAGCACATCTTCAATTTAGTTAACCATGAAAGTATTACTTCTTTGACTATGCTGTTGGCATGCTTTTTTTTATCCTTATTGTATGATGTGTATTTTCAGGTATATCTATTTATTTGTGAAACTTTTTATGTCTCATTATTTGCGTTCCATTTATACTTAAAATAAATCTACGAGGCCTAGCATCAGCCTTTATGTGGAGACTAAAATATCGTTATTGACTTTTTTCAGTACATGTTAATTTCAATGAATGGACTATCAGGAAACGTGAATAAAATCGTATGAATAGTATCATAAATTTAAAATAACAGTTTCTAATTTCTATTTTAAAATCTATATATTATGGTTAACCCCCTCTGTTGCCAAAGCTCCGCTGTGGTCAAACCCCCTATGGTCAAACCCCCTATGGTCAAAGCTCCGCTGTGGTCAAACCCCGTATGGTCAAACCCCCTATGGTCAAAGCACCTGTGGTCAAAGCACCTAAGACCGAAAAGTGGTGTAGGAGCACCCCATGAACTCAACATCCTCCCAGCCCCCCCCCCCCCCCAAAAAAAATCTTTTTTTGTTCAGGTATCTTGGCGATAGTGTAGACTCCCATGGACTAACAAAATATATATTTTGACAGTTTTCAAAGTTTATCACCTACTTACTTTATAGTATACAGAATATTAAAGATTCATTGTAATGTTGCAAACATGTAAATCTAGATTTTTAAAACTTTTGACGTTTTATATGAATTCCGCAGCCGAAAAAACTAGTTTTGCAATACTGTCTGTCGTTATGTGTGTATGTTATCACGATAGCATCATTGACGTTTGAGTTAGGTTGACAAATTTTCATATATATTGAATTTGTATTTTTCTTTCACCTTTTACGCGATTTGATTTAAACCGAAAGTGATATTTATTTCACTTCCGGTTTCTAAAAACGAATATTTTGAGCAGTTTAAAATATACGAATTAGTTTGTAAGACCATTTTTCTTTTTCATATTTTTAATTGAACTTTATCCGCTAATAGGAAGTTAGAACTCGATAACTTTAGCACTGTTTCAGTTAGGTAGATGAAGTTTCATCTATAAGATTAAAAAGATTATGTATAGATGACTCACAAATTTTGAGTGGTTTCCGGTATCCGGAACTGGTAATTTTCTCTATTTCCGGTTTTAAAAAAAACCCATAAGTACCGTTTCGATTTGTAAACGAAAATTAAAGTTGTATGCTGGTTAGACTAAAAATAAAAGAGTGGGTGCTCACTTATATAAAATACACACCCTTTGTTTCGGAGTTCAATGGAAAAAAAATATGTTAGAATTATTGAGGTTAGGGTGCACACGATAACATTTGTGTTGGCCAAATTACCTACATTGCATATAGTACTATTTTTTAAAAGTCAATAATTATACTCCATAATTTTAATTTTACTTACGTCATAATCATCATCAGATTTCAGCAGCAAGTATTCGCTGTTTAACACAGATAGGCATTTTAAAAGCTTATACTTTGATGTAGGAAGTAACCACATATGTAAAATTTTGTGAAACCGAAAGGCGTAAATAGTTCACTTACAAATCGAAAAGTACACAGTCTAACAAACCAGCAACATTGCTTACATTTTCTTATTCGTAGATATTAAAAATAAAATACGAAATCAAAATACCATCTGTTATTGCTGTGATGGTTTGGATCCGGCGGTACTTTCATACATTTCAAACAGACAAATACGTAACAGGATTCGAGATTTGATCCGATGTTTATTCAATCATAGGCTGACCCAGTGGCGTAGCGAGGTCGGGTGTCGCCCGGTGCGGCACTTAATGGAGTCACCCCCCAGAGGCGTAGCGACCCTTCCCGAGGGCAAACTTTTAAACTTTCGATTTGCACCCCCCCCCCCCACTCAAATTGTCAATTTGCTCACCCCCTAAAGTTTTTCTCTATATATTTTGTTATTTTTTGCCTTGGTGTCACCCCCCTAAATGGTGTCACTCTGTGCAGTCCTCACCCCCCCCCTCGCTACGCCACTGGGCTGACCCAATGGGCTGCGTCATACATATAATACTACTTTCTCCCAAAGGTTGGGTACAGACCTATCAGACACCTCGACAAGGCAGTCTCTCTCTCACAATACCTAGACGGACTCATACTTCGACTTAAAGTTTCCAGGTCAGATTTCCTTACACCAAGAATATCAAGACAAAACCCCCTCTCTCATCTAAAGCCCACTTTCGGTTACTGGAAATCGATCAAAAGATAAAAGGAAACTTTCACTATCCTTTTTCTCAACAGCAACACAAAGAAAAATCAAAATCTCTCTCTCTCTCTCTCTCTCTCTCTCTCTCTCTATATATATATATATATATATATATATATATATATATATATATATATATATATATATATATATATAAAGTGGGGGGGGGGACCATCCTTCACGAACTACTGATACTGTTTTAAAGCAACAAATTTTCAGTCGCAGTATTGGTACTGTTGAATTCACAAATTATGAATTACTAAAAAGTAGAAAATAAAACAACTAAATAGCAGGGTATGCAGCGCTGTGGGTCGGCTGGTCTTACATAAAGCGTCAAGATTCCATGCATTCATTACTCATTTGCACCATTGTTTATTCAAATTCAAATTCCCTCATAAAACACACCTTATACAAACATTTACTTCCTGAGTGATAAAGCATGTAAGCATAACAAATTAAACTTTAATTTTTTAAAATTAGAATACAAATGTGAATAGTTAAAGCACTAACTACAGTTATTCATTCATTGTAGAATTGGAAATTTGTAACTATAAAACTATAGGTGCAAAGATATGAATTGAATTAAATTTATGAAAAAAAAAACATTTAAATTTATTGAAAATGAAGCCTCAGAAATAATTTCATTTTAGAAAAAGCAATATACAAGAGTTGTACATAAAACTCAAGTAGTGTAGACAAATAAGTTTCCATCATTTGTTACATTTTAATGTTAAAAATAAACCTGCATCATCTTCCAAAACGATGCATCTGAACAAAGTTCACACGAAGCTGTCGGTTCAATCTCTGTTGTCGTGATTTTTTTCCTTTTTGGTGTCGTTGGTGTGCTTTTTGTCCGTTTTGTTGTTGTCGTGGTTTTCATCCGTTTTGTTGTTGGTGTCGTGGTTTTCGCCCGTTTAGTCGTGATACTTGGGCAAGTGGACAAGATTTTCTTTCCCTTAACCGGGCACCAGCACGTGCAGTCTTTACCCACAAACGCTTCCTCCGGGCAGATGGGTTTGTTTTCACACTGATCGGCGCAGTCGTATCTAATGTTCGCGTCTTTAATGTCGTAAAAACTCAAATTTTTAGCCGTTCCTATGATATCTTGATAAGCCGGGTCAATGGTTCGCAGTGTGATTTCACCGTTTGCGGAAAAATATCTGTTACCGTAGTGCATGATGCTTTGGTAGTCGTAAGGAGTGTAATTTAAGAAAGCCTCTGGGAACAATTTCTTAAAATTATATAGCCGTTGCTTGTCAATATTTTCCATCATAATTTCAACATAGTCATCTCTGTCCGGCCGACCTTGTTCGTGATTATAACCGATAGCGTGGCCAACTTCGTGAATAATGATCTGTTTTTTCCTACAGTTCGCGGCTAATGTTACTTTTTGAGGGCCCCCAAGCATACCAACATGAGAAGCACAACCAGGCCCGTCGTCGAAGTTAATATAATTTTCATCAGATGAATCTGCCGGCTCTATCTTAATGCAGGTGTGCTTTTGCCATTCGTCTATGGCTTTCATGATTTCTTGTATATCTTTTGTATTAAACACGCCAGGGGTTATTTTATAAGGAATTCTTTTATCTGGCCAAATTCGCGATGGTTGTATATTAGTATTTAACTCAACTGGCACTGGATTATCTTCATCTTCCGTATTGGGCAATTCCTTTAAAGAAAAATTAGAATGAGAGAAAAAAAAACAAGCAAACAAACAAAAAAAAAGAATTATTATAAACTTACATTTTAAATAAAATAAACGGTCAGAATATAACAGTTTTTTTTTATAAAAATTTTCGATGAATTTCTTTCAATTAAGTTTATCATTGTTCTTAACATTGGCTAACCGGCAAAAAAAAACCTCAGAGTTATTTCAAAGATCTTTTTTCGGTGTGAATCTTTTTCCTGATATTTTTTGCCAAAGTTCTCATTATATATCTTTTGTCCGAGAAGTTTTTTGAGATATTATTCCAGAGATCATCTTGCCGTCGGCAGACAAAATTTCTAAATTATGATATGTCATATTTAATCGTAAAAATTTAAAATTAGGTTTTAATCTTTGAAAGTTCACTATTATATTATTCAATATCTTTAATTAATTCATCCATTACTAAAACTTTAAATGTCTAAATAAAAATATTATTATTAAAAAAAAACATATACCTCCCGAGATAGTACTTGTTCAGGGGTCAGTAGAATGTCCAGTTCGTATAGGATTAGATTGTCGTCGGCTTGGCTATCCGGAGCTCTCTTTGCCATGGAGGCTTTGGCTATTTGCTCGTCCATCGTTTGAGTTGTCGTCTGGTCTGACGGTGCTGGTATCTGTAACAGAAGATATCACTAGTGGAGTCACAAAGTGTAAAAGAGAACAGAAATATAATGTTTTAAAAAATAAAGCGGGAGTGATCTCCCCCTAACTCTCTCGAATATTCTTATATAACATTTCGGGAATGGCAACTGGGGATATGGACATGATTTTTAATCCATTTTTGATTACGATTCTGAAAGAATGGCATTAGATTACACATTAAACTTCACGTCAAACTTGAAGGGATTCAAACAAAATTAAAAGCACGTTCACATCCAACACCTGAAATTACCCCGCAAAGATCTCTCGTCCTCTGCTAATTATATCTTTTCTTTATCATATATTTACACCTACGCTTAAGTAATCTATTAACACAATATTAACATAAAATGATAACTTACAGCGGCTGATTCAGCAGCCTTGAGCAGGAGCAAGAGAAAAAGACCTCTTACAATCATTGTTGTACAATCTACATGTAAACGTTTTCTGTTACCATTTTCGAGAGCGAATTAATGTGTTGTTGAAACGCATAATAGATCAAATCTAGCATTGGCGTTTCCCAAAACCCCACTCATCATTTATATTTTTTTTATATAAATTTATATATTTATATTTATATTTGAAAGTGTAATTTTGAGCTTTAAATTGAAACCATTTAACATGCAGGCAAACGGCTACTTTCTGAATATCTAGCCGAGTATATATTTGGCATAACCGATATTTTTTCCCCACATCTTTTCTTGCCCTCATTGCTGTATCAAGCAAGCTATTCGCTCACCCATATAACCAGCACTGTTTATCAGTCAGGAAGGTTTGCGGTCTCGAACTGATGTAACGAACTCGTGACTTTCGGGTTAGCTAGCGTGCTTCCTACCGTTTGACCACGCAGTGCGAACTCTACTACAGATTTTAAATCCTTCAAAATACAATGGCCACATTTTACCTCTTCTCGTATTAACCTCAGTCTCATCCTATAAAAAAATCTCACCAAAATGTCGCCACTATTTAAAAAAATTGTCTTCCCCTTTTCAAAACCTCCACATAACCTCGCCACTGCTTTACCCACCTAGCTGTGAGGTTACCACGTGCGTAGGTCATAGCCGTGAAATTCAAGAACATATACACAAGGTATGAAATTAATATATTACTTATTAATCCACCTAAGATTATAACTTCATTTCGACTTTTAATTAGTTGTTGCACGGAGATAATAAACAATTGTAATTCAATAGTATTGTACTGAATATTAGAAGAAAAAATAAATCGATACAAAGTTGCATCAGAGTCCTACGCCTACTTCAGTAACACGATACTCGAACGAGTATTGGGAAGATATTGAACACTAGCTCGCAATTAATTATATCTGTGTTGGTTTGGTAGTATGCGTGCATACTTCTTAGTCTAGATTGAGATCTACAAATCCTTTAGAAACTTACAGTCCATGGGGTAGGGGAATGAAAGTTCACCTGTTTCGGGTGTCATCGGTATTTTATGGGATAATGTGGTCAGGATTTTTTGCCCAGGCGCCTTTCATTCCTTATTGTCCGTCAGGTATTCATTAGAGCTGGGTGAGCTCAGAGACGAGCTACGGAGTCCGAACTCGAGACTTCGGGTTAGCAATCGAACGGTCGATATGAACACATAACATGTGTTTAATTTTGTACTAGACTAATAATACTTGGTGATTTTTTTTTTACACATACATGGTTTTGTAATGAAACTGAAAGAAACGAAATTATCTATGCAATTCTACTTTTTATGCACATAGCAACCATAGTCTATGTCCATGTATTAAATTATCTATGCTATTCTACTTTTTATGCACATAGCCACAACAGTCTATGTCCATGTATTTAATTAAACGTTAATCCCCCTTTTGAAAATCCCCTCCCCCATCTTCTTTTAGTTTACATTGTAATATTGGACGGGATTTCCTACAACGCAATTAAGAATTACGTAACAAAATGAAATGCACCATACGACACGTTCACTCCGATTTCAGCCTGCTTTTCATTCTGGATTCACTTCTAAAGCCTTTGTTCGTCCAAGAAAAAACGAGGTAGAACTATTTTACCTTCTAGGTGGATTGCTACAGTCTTACCTTACCCATCTAAGTATTATCTATTTTCTGAGCATCTAGATTCCGCGCATCCACGTTCTTTTCATTCTCCTCACATCTTGATATCTATTAAAAAATCTATTCCAGGAGCCCCTCTATCTATTTTAAATTAAAACATTTCTAATGTGTAACCCTCTGCTATGTACACACTCACTAACATCATTTCTCTAAATTTAATTAACATTCCGCTTGTCTGTAATGTACCTTTCATTTCACCGCCCACTTCTGTTACTTATGTTCTGTCTGATTAACCATTTTTCTATTTATTATCTACCCTTTACAGTACCTGATTTTTTTCCACTACCTCCCAATTTTCTCTCTCTAATTAAAGATTTCCCTGTGTATTATCTACCCTCTACAGTACCTGATTTTTCCCACTACCTCCCCATTTTCTCTCTCTAATTAAACATTTCCTTGTGTATTATCGACCCTTGCACATCACCCGCAGCTGAAAGATTCCCCTTCGTTTCCCATGTCGATAATTTGCACACCACATTAAAATAACTAAAATGACAACATAATTTGTATATTATATTCTGATCCATAGCCAAGGCCAACAATGATGCGGTGAACACCATTGAAAAGTATATCATGTTATTATATTTTTTTACTTGAAGCTCCCGTGTAAAACATTAAACTGTTATCAAATTTTAATGCGAACAGGAACATGTGGTTTTGAATGTTTTTATATATTTTCTAAAAATAAAATTCATGTTGAAGCAGTTTTATTATTTTTGTTCCAATAATTTTTCTGAACGTACCTTTCTGTTCATGTTTGTACTTATAAAACTTAGTATGATCATTTAGACAGTTTCTCACTGTTCAGATTATACACCGGTACACTGAACTCATTAGAGAAGTTGTAACGTCTTCTTTCTTGTTCTACGTTCTTAATTGTAATATTGATGGTGATTTCCTCCAACAACTTTAAGCTTGACCATCAAAATGGTTTGCTCATTGCAGGTCGTCGACTCTAACTTAGTCTTTTATTCTCCATGAATTTATTTCCATATGCTTTGTCCACCCAAGAACAATCTAAAAGTCAACAGTTGTTTCATTTTGAAGTTTTTCTCTCCTAGATGTGTTGCTCTCTCTTCATAAGCCCGTGTTGGTATCTGATTTCAGTTCTCCATTAGACTATCTTACCGCATGCTCGAACTCCGATTTTGTCTAAAATAGCTCCTTCATTGCTTGTTTTTATCTTGCGGTGAGAGGTATGTTATGGTGTGTGTTTGATCAGGCATGTTGGTGCAAACGAATATTGGTGCGAAAGTTAGAATGAACGCATGGAATATGTGACGCGGTACGCAAGAATGTGACGGTTCAGTGTAGGATCGTTGTTGCCGGGGAAGAATGTTAAATAGTGTTGTTCTTGTTGTCTTAGGGTGAGGTCGTGTATGTTGTCAAGTCTCAGTATCGTCGTCGTATGTATTGTTATGATGCAATAAAATGTGGAGTTAACTAATGTCATTCTGTCAACTCATTGTCAACGTTGATGTCGTCGTACTTGACAGAAATCTAGATTGAATAATGAATGGACACCAGTGAGTTGACGAAAATCCTTCCGTAATGTTGTTGACATGGAATAAGAATGTGCTGTTTTAGATTTAGGACCATAAAAATAATAAAATTTTATTAAAAACTTAAGCCTAAAATTAATTCAGAAATTTAATATTTTTAGAATCAATGCTATACAAGTTGCAGATCCAGAGAACTTGAAAATAATTTGTTGAGTTTAAGGCTACATTTCTATTTATTTTCATCAAGCCTAAGTAATAACCCGATGTTTCACTTTCGTAAGACAAACATTGATTGGCTGTAAAGGAACTCCGTGATCGATTTCTGACAGCCCCACTTTATAGTTATTTTGTTTACAAAACTTTGCAGATCAAGTTTTTAAATAACAAAGCAAATTTAAACACCATGACCTAGTTTTTATATTTTTAGCTTACAATGTGTACAATAAAATTTATGGCGGCCATTGTTTATGTCGCCATTACACGTGAAAACCAAATTGTTTTTGCTTTTTTTTTTTAATTTATTTAGTTACCGAAAATAATAAAAACATCAAATACATCCAATCTTTAGTAAAGACCGAAAAAAAAACCAGACAGACAGGATTTTATAACCATATTAATTGTAACTACGACGTGTAAGATTTTTAAATTAATTTATGGACCTCTCATATACCTTTGAGACTTTTCTCGCTGGTGTCCATTGAATAGAGAGGAACTGAATTGCAGTACAGACCCTCTCACTGCATAGCTACGGGATACATAGACCCCAGTTATAACAGGTATCTACTGCTTTATTCAAGCCAGATTATATCTAGCTAAACTGTTACCACGGCAGTATGTATATTAGACAAGGTCTATAAAGAAATGACGGAGAACAGAAAGAACTAAGAACTTATCGACAAATTATTGGAAAACATAGGAAAGAACCGGGGGGGGGGGGAAGCAAAAGAAAGAAACGTATCGAATGCTGTTTAAATGGCCTATACTCCACTGATAGCTAAACAATGCGAAGGAAAAGGATGTAAATTGTAAAAATAAAAACGTTTAGAGCTAGACTCAGAAAACTACTCCATATGATAGATATAATTATTGTTATCGTGGTCTAATTTTAAATACACTTTGTTTGTGTATAATTTGTTTTATATTTAATAATATGAAGATTAGTATTAATCTCTACAACTGGTTGTTATAGATCCTTGTGCAAATACATGTAGGTAATTATTTTAATTCATCTACTAACCTGCATAAGATTAAATTTTATCTCACAACTTGACACTAGATTATTTCAGCGCAAATTGCAATATTTTTCTTCTCAAATTGACAATTTTATAAAAGTTAACAACCCATTTTAGTTCAGATTTATCAGCGTTTTAGACATTAAAGGCAAGTAGCTAAATTTTTTTGCCAAAGTTTTGACACGCTGTACGTCATTGTAAAATACAAAGAAACAAGTATAAACAACAAATGCATTTTTTTTTTCAAATCACATTTTTAAAAAGTTGTCACAGTTTTTTAAAACATGAAATTATAAAACATTAAGAAACCACAATTTAAAAATATTTACTTTGGTTTACTAATTAAAAAAATAATCGTTAGAAACAAAAGGGTTTATTTAGAATAAAAAAAATTAAACAAATATAAATATAAGGATGATTTTTTTTTAAATTGAATTAAATCTTGATCTACACAATAAAACACATAAAAAAGTATTGGTCCAAATTTTTCGCACGTTTTACAACTATTTATCTTGCATGTTTAGATTTTCTCACAAATGCATTTAGCCAGATTGTATATAAAATGTTTATTTAATTTAAAACAGAGACAATATTATAGCAAAATATAATACGTGCATTGAAACAATCCTCAATTGTATATCAGTTTATATCAATTCACATATCTACAGTATCCTGTTACCATATATTAATTTTAAAAAAGTAGGGTTTTATTTATAGGGAACATAAAACACGTACACTTAATCTAGGCGCGCTAATGTGTTACGCTTAATTTTTATACCTTCTATTTTTAGCTTTTTACCTGGGTCGAAAACATTGATTTTGTGTTGTTATTTTCTTCGATGTAAATAGATGGAAATGTAAACATTCAGAAAAATATTCTAATAATATATAGATCTAATTACAAAAAGCATTTTTTCTTTAATTTAAAGGTTGTCTATATTTAAAATAATAATTATATCAGAAGTTCAAAGTTGTTTTTTTTTAATTCGTAAGCTTCAAAGATAAATTATGTAAATTTAACTAAAATCAAGACTTCTTTTGAGCTACAAATAAAACGTACAATCTTCAATCATATGTTAAGCTTCATATCAATTCATATATCTGTCATATCTTGCCATAATATGTTTATGGAAATAAAAGAAATAATATGTTTTAGGTAACATAAAACACAAGTACTAGCTTCAATTATGTGTTAAATTTAATATCAGTTCGAATATCTGCCATGTGTTGCCATTATATTAATTTATTTTTAATTATTAAATAAAAAGTCAGGGTAGATTAGGGGAACATAAGACACACGTACATTTAACTAGCGTTCATTATATGTTAATTTTAATGTCTATGTTTATATTTATAACTTGCTGTCTTGCAACACTCGGCGAATTTGTAGTCGCTGGTGTTACTGGGTCACTTGAACAATAAACGAAGGGATTATCTCCCTTCCCTGGACACCAACACTTGCAGTCTTTCCCTACGAACGCCTCCCCTGGACAGATAGGCTTATTTTGACAATGGCCAGCGCAGTTGTACATTATGTTCACATCTTTGATGTCGTAAAAACTCACATTTTTAACCGTTCCAATAATGTCTTGATAAGCCGGGTTCTTTGTTCGCATTGTGGTTTGATTATTCGCACTGAAGTATGTCTTACCGTAGTGCATGATACTTGTGTAGTCGTAAGGGGTGTAATTCGCAAAAGTTTCTGGAAGCAATTTTCTAAAATTAGACAAACGCTGCTCTTTAATATTTGCGGTCATAATTTCAACATAGTCATCTCTGTCCGGTCGACTCTGTTCATGACTGTATCCAATAACATGGCCAAGCTCATGAAGGATAAGACGTTTTTTCCTGCAACTCTCAGCCAAATATACTATTTGAACACCCCCAACCATGCCTAGATTTGAAGAACAACCAGCTCCGTCGTCAAAGTCAACGTAATTTTCATCTGTTTGATTAGCTGGCTCGAATTTAATGCAGGTGTGATTTTGCCATTCGTTTATGGCTTTCATGATTTCTTTCGTTTGAGTTTCATTGAACACCCTGGGTGTCATTATATAAGGTATTCTATTATTAGGCCAAAGACGTGTAGTGTTTACAAGTGCTCTTTTCACTCTTCCGTTCACGTTTGATTCATGATTATTTGATACTGGTACGTTCTAATATTGAAAAAAATATTTGTAATAAGACGAACGTTTTTTTTTCTTTATAGCGTGAAAGTTATTTACGTATGTAAAACTGTGTGTGATTGCAAATATACATTTAAATAAATAGTTTGCATTAGAACTGTATTGCAAAATATTTATACATTTTATACCGTCTGTATTTCAATGATATAAGAAAACATTAAACTTTTTTTTTGCTTTGATTACAGTTCACATTACGATGAAAAACTAACGTGTATTATTCACAACATTTAAGACTTAAAAAATTAAGCCGACGTTACATTATAATCATAAAGATGTTTGAAGTTTTTGAAACAATTAATTATTGAATATGAAAAATAAGTTAATTAAAAAGTAATAAAGACATATTTACCTGGAGACTTTGTAGCTGTTTAGGGGTCAGTCGCATGTCCAGTTCGTGAATTTCCAGACTGTCGTCGTCTTGGCTTTTCGGGGCTCTCTTGCTCATGGAAGCTTCGGTTATTTGCTCGTCTATTGTTAGGGCTGTCGTCTGGTCTGATGTGAAGGGTATCTGAAACAGACGTCATCAAGGATAGAGATAAAAAGCTCGTTGTAAAACACAGATCATTATTCAAATTGGTAAAAGGACTTCTAAATTTTGTGATACAAAACACAGAATAGAACATTTGTTTCTCACAAGAGTAACATAATATCCCTCAAAAAATGCTAAACAGTTTTAAAGTTTGCTATAGTGAGTAATGTAAGATTCCTTTCAAAATGCTTACTTAACATAACTATTTAAAAAAATGACTAATGGAAAAGATCAGCTGAAAGTGAAACACACACGGTCGGAATGTCTTAAACCCAACTTGAAGGAATTCCTCAAAAACAAGTAAGATGGAGAGGTTCTGATTCGTCCATATGCCCCACGATGGGTCCACAGGAATGATGGTGATAATTTTATTTTGATTCTTGCTCAGATATAGAGGGGACATATTTCCCCGGGCGCCGACCTTAGGGGGCGCCAAAATGGGTTGGAAAAAGTAATCGGAAGTTTGATGGGAGGGGGGGGGGGGTTAAATCGAAAGTTTGAGGGGGGTGCAAATCAGAAGTTTGAGGGGGTTGCAAATCGAAATATATCTGAGCAAACGTACAAATAAAAATACAAACATATTGTAAACGTAACAAAAGCTTTTATAATAACAATACTCACTGCAGCAGAATCAGCAACAGCTATCAGAAACAAGATAACAAATCCACTACCCGCCATTGTGGTCTTATTTTCAGGTGCGTTGATCTGTTACTATATTTGTATCCCGGGCACGTCTAATTAAAAGTTCTCTAAGCATATGTTGTTAATCCTTATCTATAACGTGGGCTGCCCTACCTACATGATATCAAACACAGTAAGCAAGTAAAATAAATATCATGCTTCGGCAGTGGCGTGCTGTCCATAGGCTCATGTGACTTGGCTAGACCCCCTAACAGTTGTAGCAAATGTAAAATTTTGACCAATGTTTTTGTGATTAGTCGCGGTCGTCACAGTACATAACATTTTTTTACCGCACTCCCACAGACTCCCCGCCCCCCCCCCCCTATTTAGTCCCCAGTGAGAAAATTCACCGCACTCCTACAGGGCTAATGTCTCAACTTTTTAAACGAGTCCTTGCACTTTGCCGATTCAACCTGTTTAGTTAATTAATAGTAAGGGTAAAAGAAACGAGCGAGGGCATCTGTTTTTGTAGTGTGAAAATTAATCGTGTATTTACTATGTGGAAAGCTTCAACTTCTATTTGTCTCACAAAACTACGCCCCTGCCTGCTCACATAGCCGTACATGCGCCACGTTGCATGTTATTAACACAAAGTAAGGTTGTGTAATAGACTAACATTTTTACAGTGGTATTCGAAATTGTGTTTTTCTACACACCTACATTAGATTGTAACTGTTGTTTTGAGACTCTTGGCAGTAACGTATGAAAATGGGGTGAGCGGACCTTTGACCACAGGTGCTTTGACAATAGGTTGTTTGACCATAGGTGGTTTGACCAAAGGGGCTTTGACCAAAGCGGGTCTTTGACCAAAACGGGCTTTGACCATAGGGGCTTTGACCATAAGGGATTTGACCACAGGTGTTTTCTCAGCAGAGGGTCTTTGATCACAGGTGGTTTGTCCAATGCGGGCGTTTGATAACAAGCGCTTTGTCCATATATGGTACGGATTAATTCTAAAAATTGGAATCAAATACACGCGATTGATAATGGTGTAGCACGAACAAATAACATCAGTGAAGGATGGCAGTCTCTCCTCCAATGTAGTCACCCAGCAATGTGGCGTTTCCTTGAAGGTCTACAGGTGGACTGCACACGCTTTCTTGCAAGGTGTTGCAGGTGCAAGCTACCCAGCTGAGAAGCTATACAGAATGCTGCACGAAAATTTACAACGTGCTGTTCAGACATATGGTCAAAAAGATTTACTGACATATGGTCAAACAGATGTACTGGCGTATGGTCAAACAGATGTAGGCCTACATACATATTTGCGTGCTATAGCACATCTTTAATTTAGTTAACCATGAAAGTATTACTTCTTTGACTATGCTGTTGGCATGCTTTTTTTATCCTTAATGTATGATGTGTATTTTCAGGTATATCTACTTTATTTATTTGTAAAACTTTTTATGTCTCATTATTTGCGTTCCATTTATACTTAAAATAAATCTACGAGGCCTAGCACCAGCCTTTATGTGGAGACTAAAATATCGTTATTGACTTTTTTCAGTACATGTTAATTTCAATTAATGGACTCTCAGGAAACATGTATAAAAAATTTCATAAAAAACGTTTTAATAACAAGCTTTTATGTAATAATGCACTAAAAAGTAGAAAATAAATTATAAACTATTATTTAAATTACTATAAAGAAAAGCGTGGGTCACTTTAGTACCGATTGGATACCTTTACTAATATTTGAGAAGAGACCCACGCTTTTCTTTATAGTAATTTAAATAATAGTTTATAATTTATTTTCTACTTTTTAGTGCATTATTACATAAAAGCTTGTTATTAAAACGTTTTTTATGAAAAATTTTTCAGTACTTTACATGTTTTATTTACAATAGAGTTACATGACTAAAAACCATTGCGCGCCTACTGAACGTGATGGCGCAGCTATTGAACGTACAGTGATGGCGCAGCTATTGAACGTGATGACGCGTGTGGTGTGGTTGGCTAGACATGCCTAATAATTCGGTCCAAATTTTAATTAATTAATACAAAAATAATTAGGCATCCAATTAAGTCAAATTTAGTTTCAGATTGCATTGTCTTCATGTCTTGACCCACGTGCAAACTGTGAATCGTATCGGTCAAGTAGAACTGTCCGAATTTTCACTCCTGCGTTTCCATCTAGACTGACGACAGACTGTCGACAGACAGAGGCAGTGAGTTAAATAAAAGCTTGTAATATAAAGATGCCTCTTTAGACCTAACGATCTATTGGGCAGATAAAGTAGAGCTTTTTTGTTTCTTGATCTCAGCATATGAAGGAATAATGTGGTCAGCTCTTTGCCCAACCGCCTTTATTTTGCCTTACCCAAGTTAGATACCCATCAGAGCTGTGGGTCACTTTAGTATCTATTGGATACCTTTACTAATGTTAAGGAAGACACCCACGCTTTTCTTTATAGTTATTTAAATAGTAGTCTATAATTTATTTTCTACTTTTTAGTGCATCATTACATAAAAGCTTGTTATTAAAACGTTTTTTGTGAATTTTTTTTTCAGTACTTTACATGTTTTATTTACAATAGAGTTACATGACTAAAAACCATTGCGCGCCTACTGAACATCACGTTCAGTAGGCGCGCAATGGTTTTTGAACGCAGCCATTACGTGATGGCGCAGCTATTGAAGGTGATGACGCGTGTGGTGTGGTTAGCTAGACATGCCTACTAATTCGGTCCAAATTTTAATTAATTCATAAAAAATTAATTAGGCATCCAATTAAGTCAAATTTAGTTTCAGATTGCATTGTCTTCATGTCTTGACCCACGTGCCAACTGTGAATCGTATCGGTCAAGTAGAACTGTCCGAATTTTCACTCCTACGTTTCTATCTAGACTGACGACAGACTGTCGACAGACAGAGGAAGTGAGTTAAATAAAAGCTTGTAAAAATCGTATGAATAGTATCAAAAATTTAAAATAAGTTTCTAATTTCTATTTTAAAATCTATATATTATGGTTAACCCCCCTCGGTGTCAAAGCTCCGCTGTTTTCAAAGCCCCGCTGTGGTCAAACCCCCTATGGACAAAGCCTATCTATGGTCAAAGCTCCGCTGTGGTCAAACCCCGTATTGTCAAACCCCCATGGTCAAAGCACCTGTGGTCAAAGCACCTAAGACCGAAAAGTGGTGTAGGAGCGCCCCATGAACTCAACATCCTCCCAGCCCCCCCCCCCCCCCCCCCCCAAAAAAAAAAATCTCTTTTTGTTCAGGTATCTTGGCGATAGTGTAGACTCCCATGGACTAACAAAATATATATTTTGACAGTTTTCAAAGTTTATTACCTACTTACTTTATAGTATACAGAATATTAAAGATTCATTGTAATGTTGCAAACATGTAAATCTAGATTTTAAAAAAAAATTGACGTTTTATATGAATTCCGCAGCCGAAAAAAACTAGTTTTGCAATCCTGTCTGTTGTTATGTGTGTATCTTATCACGATAGCATCATTGACGTTTGAGTTAGGTTGACAAATTTTCATATA